CTCACCAGCAGCAGTGGTCTCCCTGCCCCCATGGCTATCCCCAAGCAGCAGTCTGCCCAGTTTCCCACTGCCAAACCCAGTTTCCAGAGGTTCCACTGCCTAACCACTCCTACCTTCCCTGTTAGCCCCTGCGGCTAGCCTGCCAAGACTTGCAGCTGCTGGCTCTAAACTCCTTCGCCCCATTAAATGAAAACTCCAGAGGCTTGTAATTTATCAACCAGATTTATAACAGTAGATCATCAACCCCCAAAATGCCCCCACAAAGAACTCAAAACTCAATTGATATAAATACAAACTGCACACCTAGATGGGGCAAATGCACCCTACATTACTCTATTGTCCTTCAATGCTATCCACAGCTACTTGTGTCTCTTTCAGGCCACATGAATCAGGTTCATCTTCTTCCTCCATCTTCTCTCCATCCTTCTACCCTCTCTCTGTCCCCTCTCTAAAACTTTTAGCCCCGCTTTCTTTTTCCATTGCCCAATCACAGGTTCTAGCCTTATATTTCACTTGACCTCACCTACGTACAGAGAACAATCTGCATTTTCTTCTTTTTGTCCAATTAAAAGGCTCTTTTCTCTCAGATATAAATTGAGCACAACTATTACCATTCTATAATTTATAAAGTATAAGATATACCTAACACCCAGTCCATCATTTTTGTCAAATAAAGCACTTTGTCATCTATCCTAACTTAAAAAGGCTTATAATGTTACACCTGACTTATGTCCTAGTTTTAGATTGCATATCATCTGAAAAACATCCAATCAAATCTATATCATCTTTCTCAATGCTAAACAGCTTAGGTTGGCTATGAGACTGCAACCAGTCTTCAACACCGTCAGAAATTCAAGACCGACTAACATTACCTGAAAATAAAAGGAGCACAAAACCTAGCTTCTAATACTTAGCCAATTTATTGAGACTGCTGATCGCTTGGACAGTCCCGCTTTCCTCAAAACATGGGAGCATCAGTCTTCAGCCTTCTGGTCCAGGATCATCTGACGGACCTTCGTAATGCAGAATTTTGAAGGGTTAATTACCCTGTCTTGGCAAAGATTATCAGTCGACTATTCCGCATAGTGTGTCCTTTTTCTGGACAGTATTTTGTCTGTAGATGAATTGAGGCAATTCTTGCCTAGTGGCTGTCTCACTACAACTGGAGGAACTCCACTGATGCTCAATTTTTTCTTTGAATTCAAGAAAAGGGGTGCTCTCAGGAGCAGACATGTCTCTAGTCAAATGATCTTTAATAATGAAATGGCCGTAAACATCATATTCTGTGGACTTCTGACACCTTTGAAGACTATCTATCTACACAAAGCATCTCTGAACTGTTAGGCCTTGACTACTCTCAGTCATTTCTAATTGAAATATCTTGAAAACACCCTAACATTTAAGTCAGAGTCATGAATTTGCTATCTGGCCCTTAACTCATATGCTTACTCATCTAAGATCAGTTTGTAATGGCAGTTAGAGAAGGACTGGGTCTAAGCTTTGAATCCTTAAATGTATTATGTAGATACAATGCCTATATGCGAGTAACAATGTTAGTCTCAATTTTTACATCAATAAACAAATTCATACCAATGAAAACTTTAAATTTGTATCAATTAAATTCTGTACCAATGTAAGAGATTATAACTTCAACTTTGTATCAATGATAAAGATTTCTACTAAGGAAGGATAAGGCTATGCAGTGTTTTAATGTATATTCTCTCCAACCTGGAGATGGAAAAATATGGTTATAGATAGATGCTCAGAAACATCTTTATATCTGCCCCAAACATACAAGTCACATGATTTTTATCTGTTAAACAGATGAACATTATAAGTTGGGTTTCTTTAATACAAAGAAGTAGTCTTCATGGATATAGTCTGGTATGCAAACAGATTGGAGTTGGCCACTCACCTCAACAGCTAAGTGACAAAAGTCTACTGTTCCTCTTAGAAGCACAGAGACTGAGACCATGAGAAATGAGCATAGTTTTATTTATTTATTTTTATTGGATATTTTATTTGTTTGCATTTCAAATGTCATCACCTTTCCCCATTTCCCCTCCCAATAACCCCCTATCCCATCCTCCCTTCTCCTTTTTGCTTTTATATCATTTTAATTAAATGCAAGTATTAAGGTCAGTTCTAGGTTGAGGGACTAGCAATACAATAGATCCAAATAGCCAAGGAACAAGAAAGACAAACACAAATAGTCAAAGAACAAGCAAGGAAATAAACAAAATTCCATGAACACTCCCGTGATCACTGTTTCTAAGGGCTTATCAGGATGACCAAAATATCTGAGCCAACTTCCCTGTCCTAGCCCAAAGTCATTTTCATGTCTGAAGCCTACTTCCTTGTTCTAGCCTAAAATTTCGATTCCTGAAATTACTTCTTTGTTCTAGCCTAATGTCAGATTCCTACCTGAAGCCTACTTCCTTATCCTTGGCCAATGTCATATTCCTTCCAAGCAGCCCATTTCCTTGTCCTTGGCTCATGTCAGATTTTTGCCAAGCAGCCCCAAGGGCTCTCTGCCTCTCCCCTTTTTTATTTCATTAACAAGACAGAGCCAAAAAAAAAAAAAAGACAGAAAGAAAGAAAAAAAAGAAAAAAAAACAAGACAGAGCCTGTCTGTCTTAGGTCATTCTGACAAGAATGCCTTCCTTACCCATCATGGAATATGCATTATCAAAAGCAATGCATTTATGTCTTAGGTTGGTAAGGCTCTGTGCAGAATCTTACACTTCCTTGGCTTACCAGACTGTTAATTTAATAACTCTATCTGGGGGTCCATTTTCATGTTCAAGCCATGTACTTTGGCTGCCAACATGTTGATGCTGTTAAAGACATGCTTTAACACAATAGGCAGGAATAAAAGTATTCCCAGGACAAAAAGGGTTAGCATGATCAAGCTATATATGCCATTCTTGAAGCTTGACCAAAATAGAAATATTGACCTCTGGCCATGGGTAATTTTATCAGCAGTATCTGCCATATCAACACTCAGCAGAGCAGCATTCTTGAAATTTATAAGCTCACTATGTAAAGGTAAAACATGTGTTAGAATTATGTGTTAGAAATGTGTTAAAATTATGCCAAATATACTGCAAGTATCTTTAAACTTTTTCCTAATTATATGACTACCACTGTAAATTTTAGAACTAAACAAAAATCTGAAAGGAGAAGTTGATGGCAGGACAATATTAGTAGAATGATTTCAATGTCCACTTTTCACAATGGATAGAAAATCCAGAAGCCAGGTGTGGTGATGCATGCCAGTGATCACTGGGGAGATGGACCCAAGGCCTCACACATGCTGGGCAAGTGCTCTACAAACTGAGCTGTATCCCCAACCCAACAGAAACAGTTAAGTGATGTAGTCATCATACTCAGCAGTAGAAAATCCCCTGTGCCTTATAAACTGCAACATACTCACTACTTCGATTTAGGTATTTTCCAAATGACTTTTATTTTTACTATTTTTCCATCAAATCATGAACAAGCACATCGTGAATAAAAATACATAGGCAAGTGCCCTAGCCTCCAGCTGTGCCCCAGTCACAAGCAAAGACGTAAGACCATTTAGTAAACATCTATTAATCAGAGGTGAAATACAGATTCAGTTACCATGTATCATTAGTATACATACCCCAGAGTGGGTAAGGGATAGAAAACACTAGCCAAGATCCAGAATATTTAGTAACAACATAGAGAATGGAAATTTGTGCAAGCAATCTGAAAGACAGAGGTGAGATTTCTGGGTCCGCAAAGACACGTGGATCTACTAAAACCAAATGTGACCTATAAAAAAAAAAAAGGAAGAAAGAAATATTTATCACAACACTATAAAAGCTCCAAACTGGAAACTATAGACATAATCATTTAACTACACAAGAATAGTTACAGGCATGTCTGCAGACATATACTGCACACTGTTGGGTGCAATGCAGTTACATGGTACAATGGAATGCATTTCAGAAGTCTGACCTAAAGAAGTACCAGGCTGGGCTGGGAAGGCCTGAGCTCTGTCTGTAGCCCCATAAAACTCTCTCTCTCTCTCTCTCTCTCTCTCTCTCTCTCTCTCTCTCTCTC